CTTCCTTGTTATTCTTCAATGTAGCATAATATTCCATTGTGTGTATGAACCACATTTTGTTTATCCATTCTTCAGTTGATGGACACTTTGGCTGTCTCCATCTTTTTGCTATTCCAACTAATTTTTGTATGTTGATCTTGAACCCTGCCACTTTGGTGAATTTTCCAATGAGGTGTCTAGCTTTTTTGCTTAGTTTTTGGTGTTTTCTATGTGTAGAATCATATCGCCTACAAATAGTTTTACTTCCTCTTTGCCAATGTGTTGTTGTTGCTGTAAGTGCTGTGGAACCATTTCTGATCCATAGCGACCCTTTTCAAGATTTCCAAACAGCCGCTGGTGAGCTTTGAACCACCATCCTTGCAGTTCAAATGACTTTGCAGTCTGACGCATTAGCCCGCATTAGCCCACAGCGCCACACCAGGACTCCACTGCCAATTTGGATGCCTTTTATTTCCCTATCTTGCCTTACATCTCTGTCTAAGACTTCCAACACAATATTGAATAGGAGTGGTGACAAAAGGCATCTTTGTCTGGTTCCTATTTGCAAAGGGAAGGCTTTCTTTCCATTGAGAGTGATGTTGGGTGTTGGTTTTGTATATATGCTCTTAATTATGTTGAGGAATTTCTCTTCAATTCCTGCTTTGTTGAGTGTTTTTATCAGGAATTGATGTTGGGTTTTGTCAAATGCCTTTTCTGCATCAATCGATATGATCATGTGGTTCTTTTCCTTGTTCTTATTTATATGGTGGATTGCATCGATTATTTTTCCTATGTTGAACCATCCTTGCATCCCTGATATGAATCCCACTTGGTCATGGTATATTATTTTTTGATGTGTTGTCGGAGTCTGTTGGCTAGGATTTTTTTGAGAATTTTTGCATCTGTGTTCATGAGCCGATGGGAGGTTGGGCTATGATTTTCTTTTTTAGTGAAATCCTTCCCTGGTTTTGGTATGAGGGTTATGCCTGCTGAGCAGCGTTTCTCAAACTGAAAAAATTTAAGCCTCAAGTTGTAATATTGATGATCCTGTGGGCAAAGTATTGACTGATGCAGAAAGCGTCAAAAGAAGAGAAAGGAATACAGAGTCACTGTACCAAAAAGAAATGATTGATGATCATCCATTTCATGAGGTAGCATGTGATAAAGAACTGATAGTACTGAATGAAGAAGTCCAAGCTCTACTGAAGACTGTGATGAAAAACAAGGCTCCAGGAATTGACGCGATACAAACTAAGGTAGCGCTAGAGTCACTCATGTATTCCAGAAAGGTGCTTATTTGTGCTTTATTAACTATACAAAGCATTTGACTATTTGGATCATAACAGACTATGAATAACTAACATTGTGAAGAATGGGTTTTCCAGAGTACTTAATTGCGTTAATGAGGAACCTGTACATAGACCAAGAGGCAGTCATTCAAACAGAACAAGGGGATGCTGAGTGGTTTAGGTTCAGGAAAGGTGTGTGCCAGGGTTGTATCACGTCACCATTCTTAATCTGTGTGCTGAGCAAATAATCTGAGAATCTGGATTACATGAAGAATTTGGCATTTGCAGTAAAGGAAGACTCATTCATAATCTACGATACGCAGATTATACAATTTTCTTTGCTGAAAGTGAAAAGGACTGAAAATACTTACTGATAGACATCGAAGACTACAGTGTAGATTGCACCTCAGTGTAAAGAAAACTAAATTCCTCACAACAGGACCAATTAATAACATCATGATAAATGGAGAAAGGATAGAATTGAAGTTGTCAAAGATTTTTTTTTCCCTAGGATCCACAACCAACACTCATGGAAGCAGCAGTCAAAGCATCAAAGGACGTATTACATTAGGCAATTAATTCTGCTGCAAAAGACCACTTTAAGGTGCTAAAAATTTTTAGTAAGGACCTCACTTTGAGAACTAAGATGGACCTGACCCAAGCCATGCTGTTTCCAAATGCCTCGTATCATTTGAAAGTTGGACAGTGAATATGGAAGACCATAGAAGAATCAATGCAATTGAATTATGGTGTTGGAAAAGAATATTAAAAATACCATGGACTGTCAGAAGAACAAAAAATGTGTCTTTGAAGAGGTGCAGCTAGAATGGTACTCAGAAGCCAGGATAGCAAGACCATCGTCACTCTTAATTTTGATATTATTAGGAGGGACCAGTCTCTGAGGAAGGACATCATGCTTGGTAAAATGGAGTGTCAGTGAAAAATATGAGGACCTTTAAAGATTGCCACAGTGGCAGCAGCAATGAGCTCAGATGTAACGACTGTTGTGAGGGTGACCCGAGACCAGACAGTATTTTGTTTTGTTGTGCATGGGGTCATTATGAGTCAGAACTGACTAACAACAGCAACAATCTGCAGGCTTGAGGAGTTGATCTTTAAGAATGTCCACTTAGGAAAATTCCATTGTTCATGACTGTAATTTAGGTGGGATGAGCATTTTCTTCAGTTTTAGAATCAATCCTGTTTGCCAGCTGCTGCTTTGATTCACTCCCTGTTTGCACATCTTTTGGGGCAGGCACTTTCTTTCCCTCTAGCTTTGCGCTGTGGGCATGCCTACAATGGGCCTTAGGCCAGACTTACAACTAACACATGGTGTTTAGTATCTCTGTGGAGGTGGGCGTGGATGGAACAGGAGAAAGCAACAGATGGTCCTAAAGGTGATGTGTCACTGGAATGCATCTCAGGGGCCCCAAGTCCTCTGGGTGTGGGAAGCCAAGTGCCTTCTGTAGGATGAGTGATACAGGAAGGGCCCCTCCCACTCACTGGTCTCTTTGTAAGTCAGCCCAGATCATTTTTCCCAAGTGTTGGTGATAAGTCCATCACTTCCTGTTGCTGGGCAGAACTATTTCCCAAGGAAGTCAGAGATGAAATATCATTTGCTTGGCAAGAGACCATCGCTTGAGGTGTCAGTGACATCGGTGAGGTGGTTTGTGTTGAGGCTTTGCTTGAGAACTTTAGTCACTTGGTCAGTCTGTGACCTGGGTCAGAGAGACTCTAGAAAGCACAGAGCCTATGTGAGCTGAGTTGCTGCATATCATTTTGTGCCTTGCTGACAGTGTTACTGAGGAGACTGGCCAGAAACCCCAGCTGGGCTTTTTTATCTTGCTGGTAGGGAGTGCCAGGCTCTCCTTTGTCCTATATCTTGGGAACAGCAGCTACATTTCTCTTCCTGAATAAGGAGGAGATTCTTGAGGTATTGAATATATAATAGTATGATTGGAAGGTGGAGTTTACCTGGAAAACCCCCATAGTCTTTGTCCTATAGAAGGCCAATAAAAAATAATGATTTAAAGAGTATATTTTTATCTTTCTAGCCTCTTCCTAATGACAGAACCTTACTCTACAATCCAGCTTCTCTCATGAATGAATCAGATATCAGGCGGCGTACAGCTCATGCTTTTAAAATTTCTAAGAAATACAAGGTAAGGCATTTTCTGTTTCATTCTCGGGAGTTGCTTACTTGAAATGTTATCATAATGTAGTGAAACACAATATTGCCTTTGTTTTGTATCCAGAGAACCTGGTTTGCGGGAGACAAATGACACATCTTACTTAGCCAAAATGAAATACCTAGGTAGTGAGAAATGAGTTCAGTTGGGGTCTTTGTTTCTGTTATCACAGACTTTTGAATTTTAATTGGGCTTGGAGAGTCTACCACAAGATAAATCTCAAACAAAAACAAGTCATTGAATTTATCTTGACTCACTCTGTCTTTCTGGGCTAGCTATCACTGTATATAAAACAATCAATCATTGATTTTAGGGTACCACAGCCATTTGGAGTCCTGGAACATTTTTCCAGGGGTTGTAGTAGTTTTTTGTTTTTAAAGGAGGGGAGGGTCTATAAATGACTCCAATGTGGTTAGTTTCTTATGCATTTGTCACTTGCTAATTGTAAAGAATGTGGATCCCAAAGCTGTCAGTTAGCATCGATTCCCCAGAAATTAGAGACTCCTAGATTTTTCTGTTCAGAAAAATGTCAAAAAATCTTGATGAAGTCTTTCATGACTGAACTCAGTTGCAAGCTCCCAACCTTTCCAAGCATCTTGGGTTCTAGTACAGGAGAACCTGTCAGAGGTGTCAAGAACTTCAACCTCCCACATGGTAGTCTGGTCAGGATTAGCAATGGAGCCTGTGGAAGCCCTGGTCGAATCATTATCATCTCTCTGACCTGCAGCCTCTCCTCTTCATGGAACTGTTGGATGAAAGAACACTGGTGGCAGTAGAACGGCCCCTGGATGACATCATTGCTCAGCTCCCACCACCCATCAAAAAGAAGAAATTTGGGACTTAAAACTGGACATTGTCTGTGCCCTTCCTTGTACTGTTTGCCCTATTTCTTTTCACAAATCATGATAATAAAACAAAGTTATTCTTTAGGATTTGTCATTACAACTGTTATCTTCCAAAATAATGAAGAGTAATTTCTTTACATTGAATGAAAGCGAACAGACAGCCCTAAGACATTTGTAGCTGCGACGCTGTTCTGAGTAAATTACAAACTCAACACACTTTTTCATGGCCGTTTTTTCTTTAGACCACAATCTTAAAAAATAGTTGCCCTCTATTCCCTTACACATGCCAAAGGCTCTAAAGAGCAAATAATTTTCATTTTCTGCCAGCCTCTAATCCATGCAAAGGCCTGGGAACCTGCCCCCCCCCCCCCTTTATTCTAGAGGGCAGGGAACTGTGTTTACTTACTTAAAATCACCTATTAGTAGTGGTGGTTGTCCATAGTGGTCAAGGGAGATTCCTCCAATTGTGGCCTTCATTATAAGGGAGTGCTTTATCTAAAAAATTAGCACATTTGGCTTTTGGCTGTCAGCTGATTTTTTTTTTTTAATTGAACTTTGTGATAGCGGTCTAAAATAGCGTTGCACCTTTATGTGGGATTTTCAAAGGTTCAGGCAATACCTATCAGGAGTTTTGCTTAAGTAGGAGCAGAGATCTGTCTTTTTCTAACTGCTGTTTTTTGTGGTTTTTTTGTCCTAAGAGTTGTCAACTGACTAGCTTTAATGGGAACTTTGAAATTTGAATGTGAAGAACTAGGGTTAACCTGAACTGAGCAGATCTTTTTCTTTCCCATGGTAGTGGATGTATTCTGTTGCATGTCTGGTGAAACCTAGTCTGTGTGTCTTTGTTTGTGTTTTGGATGGAAGACTGTGGTAAGGGCAGAGAAGTGTGTGGGTTCTGATGACATCATGAGTGGAGTGCTGTTAAAAAACTACATCATTATAGTTAAACCCCATCTTCCATTCTGGAAAGAGAAAATGTCGGAATTTAAGCTAGATGTTTGAGATGTATGTTAACAATTTTAAACATATAGGACAGCTTATTTCAGCTTGGGTAAGAGGGAACAGATAGAACAAAGTTTATAATGGATGCTAACTTTCTTTCTGACTTGAGTAAATATCCTGTAAGAAAGACAGTATGTTCCCGATGTGCCTTAGGTGGCATTTCAAACTGCTCAAGTATGCTAGAAGATGTTTTAGGTTCTCTTTTGTGTGATTTGAGTTGCCCTGGTATTGCAGTGGGTTAAACTTTAGGCTGTAACCACAAGGTTAGCATTTGAACCCACCAGCCATTATGCAGGAGAAGCATGAGGCTGTCTGCCCCTGTAAAGACTTACTGTATTAGAACCCCTTATGGGCCAGTTACTCTGTCCCTTAGAATTGTTATGAGTTAAAATGGACTCAGTGGCAGTGGGTTTGGTTTTGGTTTGATGGTGTAGTGGTTAAGTGCTCAGCCGCTAACCAAAATGCCACACCACAGGAGAAACATGAAACAATCTGTTTCTGTGAAGATTACAGCCTTACAAACTCTGTGGAACAGTTCTACTCTCTCCTATAGAGTCAGAATTAACTCTAGCAATGAATTTTTATTTGTGTGATTGAGACCTAGGTTCAAATCAGTGATCTGCAATTGAAGCTCTGTAACCAAAGGGAGGCTTGTTGTTAAGTACCATCGAGTAGGTTCTGACTCATAGTGACCCTGTATAGTGTTTCTGAGGAGCAACTAGTGCCCTTGAACCACTGACTTTGAGATTCAAAGCGACCTTGAAGTCCAGCACATTAACCTGCACTGCCACACCAGGACTCCAAAGGGAGGCTACGATGCCTTAAATATAAACTCACTTGCTTTTATTCAGAGAATCCTTATTAACTGGAGTGCAGTTTAAGGCTTGACTTGCTTAACCTTCAATATATAAAACCTGTGGGGGTGTGGAGGGTATCATTCTGACAGTGGCACCCAGAGAAGTCACTCATTGGATGAAGAAGTGAAAGTGGGAAACATTCCTTTGCGACTTTTTCAGTCAGTGATTTGGACTTACATAAATGGTGTGGGAAGTGAGAGCTTTGTGCTTTGAAATTCTTCCCTAACTTCAAAACTTTCACTACAAATGAAGCAGAAACTGATTGGGGGAATGTTAGAGGGACTGGAAGACAAACCGATATTAAATAAGAGTTAATACTTCAGTGCACAGGTTTCTGGGGGCTTTTACTATTGAGTCTTGTCTAATTGACGTGTAAAGTACATTCATCTTTGGCATTTTGTGTCAGTGCATTTTGCAGGCTGTTGGCTTACACTCGCATTCTACAGCAAATTTTGGATCTGAGACAGCAAGCGAAAGGTCTTTTTCTTACTGCGAACCTGACACATGCTTTAAAAATTCACTCTTCTCATAGTGTGTAGTTAGTAACCTAATCTCTGAATGCACAGCTCACACTTTACTGTGGATATTCTGCCAATTGAACTGCTAAAACTAAATCTTGGAATGTTGGGAAAAATCTCTCAACATTTTTCCAAGCTTTTTATTTTATTTCTTTATTTTAAAGCATCAAAGCTTCCTTTAAATGGAACTGTATTCAGAACTGTAAAATAGGTTACAGATAAAAATGGAGCTAGTCTGTCTGGTGGTTGGGGTAAGAAGGGAGGAAGTGGGAGTATGTGAAAAAAGATTCATGTCTTGGCCTGGTTTTTACATATAAAAACACAAATGTAGAGAAGAGGTGATTTTTCCTGGTGATTTATTAAAGGTGGGACATTTTCTGGCTATGATCTCTTGGTCATAGTGACCCAATCAGAAGTATGGTTCACAAAGGATTTTACATTCTGTAGCCTGCAGGGAAGGTATTCAAGCATTTCTTACTCAGAGCACTTAAGAGTTCTGTGGGCAGTCTTTTGTGTTAATCATAAAGCATTGCAAGGTGCAACTTGTTCATTATCTCCTAGTCTTCCTGTGGGATTGTTCCTAAGCGTTAACTTCTGGGAGTGGAATTGCAAACTCCAGTGGCTCTTTGACTTTTTAATTGGTGCAGCCAAGTTGCCCTTTGGAGTTAAGATGTTTTCCTGTGTTTAAATGAACACATTTCCTTACACATTGCCTGTGTATTGATACACATTAGTTTTAGTTCATCAAGTGATGTGATGCTTATCAATGTAAAGATCTGGAGTCAGGAAGAATACGCCTAGCATTTCTCAAGCTGAAAGAACTGAAGAAAAACTCAAAATTGCTATATTGGATTCTGTGGGCAAAATACTGAATGACACAGGAAGCATCAAAAGAGTCACTACAGTTAAGAATTCGTCGATGTTCAACTATTTCAAGAGGTAGTACATAATCAAGAACCGATGGTACTGAAGGAAGAAATCCAAACTGCACTGAAGACATTGGTAGTAAACAAGGCTCCAGGAATTGACGGAATACCAATTATAATATTTCAACAAACTGCTGGAGGCGCTCACTCATCTGTGCCAAGAAATTTGGAGGACAGCTTCCTGGCCAACTGGAAGAGATCCTTGTTTGTGCCCGTTCCAAAGAAGGGTAACTTCAACAGAATGTAGAAATCATTGAATAATATCATTAGTATCACCTGCAAGTAAAATTTTGCTGAAGATAATTGAGCAGTACGGCAACAGGGAACTACCAGAAATTCAAGCCAGATTTAGAAGAGGATATGGAACAAGGGATTTATTACTGCTGGTGGCTGTGTGCCACGGAGTCAGTTCCGACCCATAGCGACCCTGTACAGGATTTCCGAGGCTGTAAATCTTCACAGGAGCAGAATGCCTCATCTTTCTCCAGCAGAACAGCTGGTGGTTTCGAACTGCTGACCTTGTGGTTCACAGCCAGATTCGTAACCACTGAGCAACCAGAGCTCCATTATTGCTGATGTTGCTAAATCTTGACTGAAAGCTGAGAATACCAGAAAGATGTTTACTTGTGCTTTATCCACTATGCAGTGAATGACATTTCACTGTGTGGATCATAAAATATGGGTAACATTGCAAAGAATGAGTTTTCCAGTACACTTAATTATGCTCATGAGGAACCTGTACATAGACAAAAGGCAATCTTTCAAACAGAACAAAAGAATATTGAATGGTTTAAAAATCAGGAAAGGTGTGTGTCAGAGTTGTATCCCTTAACCATACTTATTCAGTCTGTATGCTGAACAGATAATTAGGGACTCTGGATTATAGGAAGAAGAATGTGGCATCAGGGATTGGAGGAAAACTCATTAACAACCTGAGATACACAAATGACACAATTTGCTTGCTAAAAGGGAAGAGGACTTGAGATACTAATGAAGATCAAAGACTACACCCTTTTTTGTGTGTTTTGCCTCTCTGTGTAGAGGAGACAAACTCTCTCCCCCTGTGTCTCAAAAAAAAGAAAATAACATCATGGAAAACATAAAAGACTGAAGTTGTCCTAGACATTTTGCTTGGATCCACAACAAGTACTCATGGAAGTAGCAGTCAAGAAATCAAACTACGTTTTGCACTGGGCAAATCTGTTGTTAACAAAAGACTTGTTTAAAGTGTTAAATAGCAAAGATTTCACTTTGAGGGCTAAGGTGTAACTGACTTAAGCTGTGGTATTTTCAGTCATCTCACATTCAAGTGAAAGTTGGACAGTTAATAAGGTAGACTCAGATGAATCAGTGCATTTGAATTATGGTTTTGGCGAAGAATAGTGAGAGTACTGTGGGCTGCCAGAAGAAGAAACATCTATTTTGGAAGAAGGACCGCCAAAATGCTCCTTAGAAGCAAAGATGGTGAGACATTGTCTCTTGTATTTTGGACATGTTGTTATGAGGAACCAGAACCTAGACAAAGGCATCAATCTTGGTAAAGGTTCAGCAAAAATGAGGAAGACTCCTATGAGATGGATTGACACAGTGTCACCAACAGTGGCCTCAAAACGTAATTGTGAGGATGGTACACGACTGGGCAGTGTTTCTTTCTGTTGTGCATAAGGTCACTATGAGTAGAATCAACCTGATGATACCTAGCAACAACACTGTATTGTATTTTTCCTTTCCCACTTTATTTATGAGGTGACCCACTTCGTGTTTTGGGAGCATTTGATT